ACCCATTTCACAGATGGGAAGCAGAGGATAATTCACTTTCCCCAGTGCAGAGCCAGGGCCCAGGCTCCCACCCACGGCTGCACACCAGAACCACCAGCCCAGCCCTTCCGGGCCCCTTCATGGGGTCCAACGCTGAGGCTGGAGGGGACCTCAGAGTGAGCTGCCTGCACCTTCCTTTACAGATCACGGAGAGGGGCCTTTGAGAAGGAGGGGGCCCACGTGGACACAGAGCAGGGGTTTCCACAAACTTCTCTTTGCATGAGGGGGCCCTGCAGCACCTTCCTTAGGGGAGGATTTGGGGGTTGGGGGGCTGAGGGGCTGAACCACAAGTGCCAGGGGCAGCTGCTATGTGGCCACGACGTGCACAGCGCACCTCGAGGCGCCCCGGGGACTCACCACGGCGGCCACGGGGAAGAGGTAAGGGTGGTTGCAGCATTTCTTCAGGTCCATCATGATGTTCAGCAGCGACACCTGGTTCCCACCCCCCTTGGAGTTCAGCGCCTCGAAGTTCCGCGTGAGGATGAACTTGTAGTACTTCCTGCAGCGGGGCACGAGGGAAGGGGCTAGACTCACGGGCAGGGCTGGGCCAGGCGGGCGCACCGCTCCGCCCCAAAGGGAGGCTGGGGTCCTGGGACCACTGCTCGTGAACGGAGAGCAAACCACTAGACACCCCGCAGCCTGATCTCGACTCCTGAGTCCTGCCAGGGGCCCCGAAACGGGCTGCCGGGCAAGTCAAGGTCCTGCCAGGGCTTCAAGGGTCTTTCACCCACTTCCCGGGAGACAGCCAGTGTAGGAGGGCAGGGAAGGGGGGCGGCACAAGGAGGCGGGCCCTCACTTCTGCATCTGGCTCAGCTCCACGCGCACAATCAGCTCGGTCTTGGCCGGCATGTTCTTGAACACATCGGCCTTGAGCCTCCTCAGCATGTGCGGCCCCAGCAGGTCATGCAGCTTCTTGATCTGGTCTTCCTTAGAGATGTCGGCAAACTCTTCCAGGAAGCCCTCCAGATTGCTGCAAGGAAAGGCCCGGGGTCGGAGCTGGGGCCAGAGGGCCAGAGCAGGCCGAAGCCCTCCACAGAGTGGTTACCATTTAGGTGCGGGCAGTCGGGGAGGCCAAGTCAGGCGCCCTGCCCCTGCTGGAGGGCAGGGAGCCCTGGCCATCCACTCCATCTCCAGCAAAGCCAGAGTGACCAGCACGCCTTGGCTCTCAGCCACACAGGCCTGCCGGTGCCCCGAGCCATGCTGGGCATGCACGAGCTCTCTAGGACCCATTTCACAGAT